GGTGCAGCTGCAACAGGACAATTCCTGTCACATGGTCGCACTTCTGACGTCAGGGAAACCGCGCCAGCACCAACAGCAGTAGCCACAACGGACTCAGCGGAGGAGGGCAAGAACCGCGTGGTCACCGTGACACGACATCCTCTTCTTGGAACTGGGATCAGACTGATCGGTGGCAATGCTGTGGGTGTCTTTATCTCCGATGTGAATCCACAGTCATCGGCTGCGGCTGTTGGTGTAGCGCCGGGAGACGAAATTCTAGCAGTGAGTTCTGTCAAATGAGTATGTAAAGGAGAAGAAAAATGCAATTTCCTTGTATTAAAATTGCCTAAATTTTACTTGTTTTGTCCCCCTCCCCCCTTGAGGCCGTAGATATACCTGCCTTGAAATTGCGTTGCGTAAACGAGTACGGAAAAAACTACCGCTTTGTCTTCTGTCAAATTATTTAAATGGCAGAGCATGGTGACGAAATGCGCGAAAAGACGAGTTCCAAGAAGTAGACGCGAAAAAGGAAACTCCCTCATTGGAGCACAGAGTTTGTAGTTACATAAACGGCTTTTTGTTTTACTGAGCTAAAATATGCCTTGTTATCATCTTGCCACAATGTTGAATAACACACATTTTGTCTCAATTGTCAGAGGCTGCGTTCTTATTTGGCTGTTTTATAACTATTGGGATACTTCTATCTTACATTTCAGAGTAGATTGCTTCATATCCTTTATTGGTTGATCACGTCGGGGTCACCAAGATAAGATACGAAGCAGCCTCTTCTGAAATGCAAGATAGAAGTATCCCAATAGTTACACACCAGTCATATAAGAAAAAAAGTCTTTGATAATTGAGACACAATGTGTTATTTGCCAATGTTCGCATGTGACTATCTAACTCCCATAGCTATAATACTGACAGAAAACTATCGGGTCGAGTCAACCAAATGTTTGCTAGGTCAACATTTGACGGCTACTGAAATATTTGGCCGCTAAATAACAACAAAGAAATGTCTGCACCTCTGTTAGGATGGAATCCGAAAATGAATTGGCTTGTAGTTTTCACTGTTCCTTTCTAGGTTACTTGAATCTTTCGATCGTACATGCAGGTAGATCGCATATAGTTCTAAGTTGATTGCGCATTGATATTAAAAAAGGCAAATACGCATAGGATAATTGTTTGATGATAAGATAATTAAGTAGAAAAAAGTAAATCGTTGCCTATGCGGTGCGTCAACGCCCCGAGAATGCAGTATTGCCGTGATAGGGGGCGGGGGGGGGTGAGTGCTTGCGTGACATTCACCTCTCTCGCTCTTCCCACCCTCCGTTTGTTCAAACAGCAAGTTAGGGTCAAGATGATTGGGGTTCGTTGATGAACGTTCACCTGACCGCTAACGGAACTCATCCGTCCTGCTCTGTCTAGGGCCTCGACAGAGTCCCTGAAAGCCGTAACAGCTGGTAGTTTAGGCATATTGTATGGCCGGCAGACACAAGGGAGAGTGGGATGACCATGTCTGGCTTATTAGCCGATTGAGGTTCAACTGCAGTGCCATTACTATTTTGGCTAACCCGTCGTCAAGACTGTCACGTGCAGGAACCAAAGTAGAAGAGGACTCATAAATCTCAGTTAAACCAGTCACGGATAGAGGAGGCCACTGCTGCCTGACCCTCAGTCTAGAGGAGAACTGACCCGTTCCGTCAGTTGGCAACCTTTGATTGCTTAACTTTCGGTAAGTAGGCTTAACGGAAGAAGTACGTACACGTAGGAAATTAGCCAGATTTCATTTTTCTCCCTCTAAAAGTAACAAATCTGAGTCAATCTAGGGGTAAGAGACGGAAGAAGATCACGTCTCATACCTAACAGGGTCTAATGTGTGTCGCATGCCTGTATGGCATCAGTTTGGTTAAGCGCAGCAGTGAACCCTGTTCACGAGTCTAACTGCATTAGAGTTGTTTGGATCTGACGTCCCATGGCAGTCCGTGGACAGTTGGAGCGTCGCGAATGACCATTTCCATCATATGCTCCACCGCTTGATGGGTGTAGGACGGTGACTTACGTGTGAATTAGCTTATGAGTATCAGTATCAGTATCTGTCACACACTCCCTCCTTCTCAACCCCCCCTGTGCCGGATTTCAAGACTGTAGTCAAGAAGACCGGAGCCGGGATCAGGCGCAGGTGGGAGGCGTGGTCGGAGCCGCCACGCCTGACCCAAATCCTCCGGAGTGGGAGTACCAGTGGCGAAAAAAGGTCAGGAAGATTGGAGTTGGTCTAGGGCACACTGAATAAAAAGCTAAATTTAGTTGACCCAATTGTAAAAAAACTCGCGGCATTCGGCGGGATTCGAA